ATAATTGCTTTACGATATTCTCTTGGAGAAGGCAATGGCACCCCACTCCAGTACTCTTACCTGGAAAATCCCATGGACAGAGGAGCCTGGTAGGCTGCAGTCCATGGGGTCGCAAAGAGTCGGACATGACTGAGCGACTTCACTTTCACTTTTCACTTTCATGCATTGGAGAAGGAAATGGCAACCCACTCCAGTGTTCTTGCCTGGAGAATCCCAGGGACAAGGGAGCCTGGTGGGCTGCTGTCTATGGCGTCGCACAGAGTCGGACAGGACTGAAGTGACTTAGCAGCAGCAGCAGCAGCATTCTCTTGGTTTCTGCCACACATGACCTGAATCACCCACAGGTTTACATCTGTCCCCTCCCTCCTGAACCTCCCTCCCCCCTCCCCCCCCGCCCCACCCCTCTGGGTTGTCACAGAACGCCGGTTTGAGCTCCCTGAGCCACACAGCGAATTCTCACTGGCCGTCTGTTTTACCTAAGGTAAGGTGTGTGTTTCCAAGCCACTCTCTCCATTTGTCCCACCCTCTTCTTCCCACTGTGTGTCCCCAAGTCTGTTCTCTATGTCTGAGTCTCCACTGCTGCCCTGAAAACAGGTTCATCAGTACCATCTTTCTAGATCCCACGCATGCGTGCTCAGTCACTTCAGCCCTGCCCGACTCTTTGCGACCCTGTGGACTGTGGCCCATCAGGCTCCTCTGTCCATACAAGCATGCTGGAGTGGGTTGCCATGCCCTCCTCCAGGGGAATCTTCCCGACCCGGGGATGGAATTTGAGTCTGCCTGCATCTACTGCATTGCAGGTGGATTCTTTACCCACTGAGCCACCTGGGAAGTCCTTCTAAGATTCCATAGATATGCGTTAATACACGATATTTGTTTTTCTCTGAATTACTTCACTTTGTATAACAGTATTTGTTTCTCTCTTTCTGACTAACTTCACTTTGTATATCAGGCTCTAGGTCTGCCCACCTCATTAGAACCGACTCAAATGCATTCCTTTTAATAGCTGAGTAATAAACCACTGTGTATATGTACCACAACTTCTTTATCCATTCGATCTGTCAATGGACATCTCGGTTGCTTCCTTGTCCTAACTGTTGTAAATAGTGCTGCAAGGAATATTGGGGTACAGGTGTCTTTTTCAGTTATGGTTTCCTCAGGGTATATGCCCAGTAGTGGGATTGCTGGGTCATATAGTAGTTTTATTCCTAGTTTTTTAAGGGATCTCCATACTGTTCTCCATAATGGCTGTATCAATTTACATTCCCACCAGTGCAAGAGGGTTCCCTTTTCTCCACAGCCTCTCCAGCATTTATTGTTTATAGACTTTCTGATGATGGCCATTGTGACTGGTGTGAGATGATATCTCATCGTAGTTTTGATTTGCATTTCTCTAATAATGAGCGATGATGAACATCTTTTCATGTGTTTATTGGCCATCTGTATGTCTTCTTCAGAGAAATGTCTAAGCCTTCTGCCCAATTTTTGATTGGGTTGTTTGTTTTTCTGGTGTTGAGTTTCATGAGTCGCTTGTATATTTTGGAGAGTAATCCTTTGTCAGTTGTTTCATTTGCTATTATTTTCTCCCATTCTGAGGGTTGCCTGTTCATCTTGTTTATAGTTTCCTTTGCTGTGCAAAAGCTTTTAAGTTTAATTAGGTCCCATTTATTTATTTTTGTTTTTATTTCCATTACTCTAGGAGATGGGTCATAGAGAATCTTGCTATGATTTATGTCAGAGGGTATTCTGCCTATGTTTTCCTCCAAGAGGTTTATAGTTTCTGGCCTTATATTGAAAGGTCTTTAATCCATTTTGAGTTTATCTTTGTGTCATAATACAATTCTGATATGATCATTTCAGGCCTCACTCCAGTGGGTGATGGATTCTGATGCATAACCTGCAGACCCCACAAGGGCCCTCCCCTCCCCAACCCTCTCTTCCCTACAGCCTGCTTTTCTCAGTCAGCGGCACCACCATCTAACATTTGTTCCGGCCAAATACAAAGATGTCAGTCTTGATTTCCAGCCTCCCTCCCCAGTCCCTCCCCTTCCATCCAGTCCATCAGTGAGTCCTCTCAACTCTTATCTTCTGACAAATCCCAGATCTAACCATTTCCTTCACTCTCGTCCAAGTCTTCCGTGTCTTATATTTGGGGATCATGTGATGATCTTCTGTGTGGGATCCCTGCTTCTTCCCCCACACCCTCTCCAGTAACTCTCCACTCAGCAGTCAGAGTAAGATTTTAAAAACACAGACTGGAGCATGTAGCTCCGCTGCTGAGAAACTCCCCAGTGCCTTAGGATAAAATGCAGTCTCCTGACGTACACACACTACGGTGTATAAAATAGGTGACTAGCGAGGGCTGACTGTACAGCGCAGAGAACTCTGCTCCACGCTCTGTGATGACCTGTATGGGAACAGGACCTGAGAAGGAGTGGTGGGTGTATAACTCGTTCACTTTGCCATGCATCAGACACTAACACAACATTGTTCAATCAACTGTACTCCAATAAGGATTTTTTTTGAAGATTAAGTCCTGCTTTTATTTTTCCCCCATTTTAAAATGTATTTTTAATTGGAGGATACTTGCTTTACAATAATGTGTTGGTTTCTGCCATATATCAATATGAATCAGCCATAGGTATGTGTATGTCCCTTCCCTCTCAAACCTCCCTCCTACCTCCCACCCCATCCCTCTAGGTTGTTTTTATTTTTATTTGTTTTAAATGCAATCTCCATAGCATGATCATCAAGGCCTTCTGTGACTGGCCTTACTTCTCACGCCCCCTGCCCCCTCTGCTTTAGCCACAAGAGTCTTCTTGCTCTTCCTGGAATAAGCCTTACTGTGTCCATGCCTTGGCACTGTTCTGTGGGAAACGTTCACCTCCATTTGTCACACCCTGGTTCCTTCTTTGTCCTCCACGGGGCAAAGAGCTTCAGTGGAACGCGTAAACAGGAGTCTTGGGGGCTAAGTCTTCTGGGTTTGAATCTCAGCTCTGCTGCTTACTAGCTGTGTGACCTTGGGGAAAGGTGCTTAGCTCCTCTGTGCCTTGATTTTCCTGTCTGTAAATAGGGATAGTAAAAGTACTTTGTTATCCAGGGTTTTGAGAAGATTGAATAGAAGTGATCACATTAAATGAGTTAATGCACAAAAAAAGACTCAGAGCTGTGGCATCTATAAAACGCTTGACAGTGCTGTTATTGAGAAGGGCATGGCAGCCCACTCCAGTATTCTTGCCTGGAGAATCCCCATGGACAGAGGAGCCTGGTAGGTTATAGTCCATGGGGTTGCAGAGTCGGACGTGACTGAGCGACTAAGCACAGCACAGCATAGTGCTACTACTGTCCTTCAGGGAGCACCTTAAATACTCTGAGGAGCCTTACCCGACCACCGCCTGACCCCCCCCCACCCCTCCACACCCCCCCATCTCTCCATCTGCATCCCTGTCACACCACCCCCAGTACATTTCTTGTTTGGGTGTTTATTGTCTGCTCTGCCCCCTTCCCTAGACTGGAACTTTCATGAGGGCAAGGACTTTCCTGAGCCAGTATTCTGCAGGTTCTCAATAAATCTTTGTTGAATGGCTATGGACAGAATGGAGGCCAAGTCCATTGATTCCCTCCTTTCCCAGCAGCCCTGAGAGCTGGGTGCTGGCACCCCAGGGCCATGTGTCAAAAACGATGCTCAGGGTTTTTCCTTGGGAGTCTGGGAACCCCAGGCAGGGGACCTACTTTTAGAAGCCCTGGGGGCATTGGTGGGTACCACCCTTAGCAGGGGACAATCAGAGCCTGGAGTCTGGAGTGCAGACCCCTCGGTTCCATCCGTCTCTAGTGGACTACTGATCCTCTCTGGTCCTCAGCTTTCTCATATGTAAAACTGCGGGAATACCAGTTACCTCACAGGGCGGTTAGGGAGATTAAGTGGGATAATATATGTAAAACACAGCTCCCTGCCTGGCTTGGAGTAAAGCTCTCCAGATGGTTAGTTATCATTATTGTTGTCAGTGCCATATCTAAGTGTCATTCTTCTGAGCATGAATGGGGGTGCGCGAGGGACTTGGAGGGTGCAGGTAGTTGAAGACACAGACATAAAGACAATTAGGGGAGAGAAGTGGCCTGGAGTCCTCGGTTGTGTCTGTATTCACTCGTGCCTCTGTGCCTGCGTGCGTGTGTTTGTATGCGCGCATGGGAAGGAGAGGTGGCATGGATCCAAAGGAGAAATCCGGTCCTTCCTCGTAACTCGGTTTTGGGGAGCCCGAGGGGCCTGGCTTTCCCTGCGGCAAGGAAGACTGGGAGCTGTCTCCGCCCCGCGCGCGCTCAGCACAGAACCCGAGGCCAAACAACCGAGCGCCTCGATTGTGTGTTTCTGGGATTAGGAGGCTGGATGGGGCGGGGGACCTGCGCCCCCGCGGCCACCACGGTTGGGCCGGACTTGGGGAATCCCAGGGTGGGCAGGACCCCCAGCTCCCCGACCGCCCCGCGCCCGGGCCCCGCCGCGCGCTTCGCAGCCTCGGATGCTCCCGGAACGCCCGCGGGCGGGGCCTGCCTTCCGGAGCTGGGTTGGCGGGCGGCGGGGGGGGGAAAGGGCCGCTCCTTTCCCAGAGTGGCGGGGCGACGTCAGGAGGAAGGGCGCGGGGCGCGCACGCTTTAAATGGCATTCGCTGTCATCCGAGCTCGCAGCCGTGTGGGCTGGAGCCGGCTATATAAGCGGCGGGCCGGGCCGCCGCGGGGCAGACGGCGACAGCGGCGGCGGCGAGCGCCGCGGAGCAGCGCACCCCCCACCCCACCCAGCTCCGGAGCCCCGCGCCCCCCGACGGGCCCGCCCGCCCTCCAGAGGAGCGCCGACCCGGGCCCGTGAGGGCCACCGCCACCCCGCAGCAGATTTGGATCCCCCGCCCGGCGAACCCCAGGCTGCTGCCTCCCGGGGGGCCCCGGCGCAGCGGCCGCCCCCGGAGAGCCCCGCCGCCCCGCCGGCCGGCCCCGAAGCCGCCGGCCGCGCCATGGCGGCCGCCAAGCCCGGCGAGCTGATGGGCATCTGCTCCAGCTACCAGGCGGTGATGCCGCACTTCGCGTGCCTGGCCGACGAGCTCCCGCAGCCCATGCGGCCCGCCAAGCTGTCCAAGGGCAAGGGCCGGCTGCGGCGGCCCCGCCAGTCCCGTTTCAAGACGCAGCCGGTGACCTTCGACGAGATCCAGGAGGTGGAGGAGGAGGGGGCGTCCCCGATGGAGGAGGAGAAGGCCAAGAAGTCGTTCCTGCAGAGCCTGGAGTGCCTGCGCCGCAGCACGCAGAGCCTGTCGCTGCAGAGGGAGCCGCTCAGCGGCTGCAAACTGAGGAACAGCCTGGACTCCAGCGACTCCGACTCGGCCCTGTGACCTGCGCCGCCCGCAGCCGGGACCAGCGCGCCCGGGCGGCGCGTCGCGACGGACCAGCGTGCGAACCTCGAGGGGGGCCCCGCGCCCCGCACCTCGGGGCCCCCCATCCGCCAAGCACCCCGGTTGGGGGACCGCCTGGACCCTCACCCGACTGCGAACTTGTCCGGGCGCCCCGAGCTGAGCTCGCCCCGTCCGGGAGCGCGCGCCGGGGAGCCGGGGCGCCGGGGAATGGGGGGGGGGGGGGGCGCGCCTTTCTTTGCCCTTGTAAATGTTTATTTTTTAACTCTTCCCAGTACGAACTCTGCTGTGAGTGTGTGCGGGGAGGCGCACCCGCGCTGAGTCGCCGCGGGTCCCCGGGGCTTCGCGGAGAGTTCGCTCTACGCTCTTGTCCGATCGTCTGAAACTCCGATTTTTGCACACCGCTCCACCGTGCCCACCCCCTCCCCCCGCGCGCACACCCGTTCACACTCACGCCGACCCACTCTCGCTGAACACTTTTATAATTGTTAGGCGCGGCCGATGGGACTTGGGGCGCAGCGCAGCTGGCGCTGTGGCCAGAGGATTGATATTTATTTTTGCATTGCGATGGCTGACGGCGTTTATTTAACGATCTTTTTACCTAGATATGTCTGTGAGGCTCCCAAACGGAGACAAATAAAGTCAATATATTTGCACAGTGCATTTCTCAAGGCTCTTGACTTCTTGGGCCCCTTCAGGGCCCAGGTTCCCAAAACTAGGGGAGAAGAGGGGAGGATTAATTAGCTGGAATGGGGGGGGGGTGGTGCCAGGAATCCCCGACTGGAAGTAACTTCACCAGCTTCGGTCACCGGGACGAAGTCGCAGCCCCAGTCCGCGGGTCCATGGCCCACCTCCCCAGGGGACCCGCCGGCCCGAGTTCTCTCCTGCCTCCCAGGTCTGTTCCCCATCACCAGTGTCCAGGACGGGGTGGAGCCGCTAGGGAGGTGAAGGTTGGCGCTGTGAGGACTCAGAGCACCTGCCTGGGGCGGGCTGACCTCTCATGGAGACCGGGATCAGGGTCATCGCCCCATACCCACCACGGAAGACGCCACTCACCCCGCGCCCTTTCCAGTCAGTGGGGGGAGAGATGCCCGAGCCAGCAATGAGAGACCCAGGCGGGGATCTCTGGGTGGTGGGATCCGAGGGACGGCTGGGAGCGGGTGAGAGTGTGTGTGTGTGTGTGTGTGTGCGCGCGCACTCCAAGTCGCCTACGCCCGAGGGGGCCCGGCGCCCCTCCCCTGGGGCAGCAAACAGCGGCTGCTTCGGTGGTTTCGTCCTGTTCTCCAGTTCTTCCCTTTGCCCTCTTCAAGGTTCCGCAAGGAATCTGTCTTTGGTCAGAGCCTGAAGGGCGCTTGGGTACCACGGACTCCCTCCCTCCCTCCCCCGCCTTTGTTTATAGATGAGAAAACAAACCCAGCGGACAGGGAAAAGTCACATGAAGAGCAGGCGCTATGCAGCCAGCTCTGACTCGCCGTCCAGTGCTCCTTCCGTCACACGACTCTTGTCTTTCCAGTGCTTTCCAGCAGCGGCCGGCATCCCTGGCAGTAGGTGGTAATGGGGGTAATAAACAGCATTTGGTTGAGGAAACAGGTCTCCACACTTGGGACCCCCCCAGCCAGCCCACCTCTCTAGGGTCACGCCAGCGTTGAGCCACCAAGGCCAGGCTTTCCTCTGAGTAGTTCGGAGGGACACGGAGGGGGTGGATGCCCTGACGACTCGGGTCTCTCCAGGTCGCCGGGAGTCTGTGCTCGGGTGTCCCCTGGTGGTAGGGGACGCTGGTGCTCAGCTCAGCCCGGCCCTGCGGGGCATCTGCGCGGCCTTTTGCTCCTCACACCGCAGCTCTCGCAGCCCCCGGCTCTGCGGAAAACCAGAGGGCAGAGCAAACAAAACAGACAAAAAGGGGTCACACAGGGTCTGAAGGGGAAGCCTGGCCTGATGCAGTCCCCGGGGCGGCACAGAGTCCGCCATGACTGAGCAAACGACCAGGGTCTGAAAGAATGCTCTCCCCTCTGACGCACAGAGGGGGCCAGGCTCAGGCCCTTGGGAAGAGTAGTCTTTGGCGCCATCTTCACCCCCACCCCGGGAATTCACTGGCCTCTGGTCCCCATCAACGGCCAGGTCCATTGCAGGGATGCATGAACAAGGAAGGCATTTGGCGTGGTGAGGCAGCCATGGATCCACGTTTTGATTCCAGTCTCTGCAGCCGCCCTGGCTAGGCTGGTTTGAGCTCCTTGGGTGGGAGGAGGGTGGCTGAAGCTCAGAAGCCCCTCCGAGAACCTCGTCCCATTCTGTTCCCTCATCCTGTTCCACCCCCTACTCCCATCTTATCTTACATTTTTAGCAGTAGTTCCTGTTTCTGCTCTTCAAGAGCCAGGCGCCCCCAGCCTTCCTGTGGGTTCGTCTTTAAGGCCTGGCTAGGTGTCTCCCTCTGGACACCACCTCCTGCCAGTACCCTTCTCCCTGCTGGAGAGCCTCCTTCTCCACCACCTTCAGCTCATACCTCAGCTGGAGGCCTATTTGTAGAGTCTCCTTTAGTCACCCTGGCCAGGACCTGGGAATGTTGTGGGGACCACATGTAATCATTCCAGTTCTTGCTCAGCCTCTGGCAGGACCCAACAGCCAGTAGTCCCTTCTGAAAAGTTTGTTGGGTTAAAATGAGTAAGGGGGCAGGGGGGAAGACTGATGTTCATCTTGCCTACTTCCTGGTTTGCTTTAAAGTTGTTCTAATGTTTTATTGCCCAAGAACTGTTTGTTCCTTATAATAAAAACGAGTAACTCATACTCCTACCACCCCGAGATAAATATGTCAACATTTTGGAGGTTATGCCTATATTATTGTGTGTATGTATATACATATGTATACATATATACATGTTTCACAAAATGGATTTATGCTGTAAATACTATTTTTAAGAAAATATTTCTTTAATTTCTGGCTGTGTTGGGTCTTTGTTGCTGCTCATGGTCTTTCTCTAGATGTGGCAAGCAGAGGCTACTCTGTAGGTGCTCGGGCTTCTCACTGCCGTGGCCTCTCTTGTGGACCACAGGTGTGAGGCTCCAGTAGTTGCAGCTCACGGGCTCCAGAGTGCAGGCTCAGTCGCCCGTGGTATGTGGGATCTTCCCAGACCAGGGATCGAACCAGGGTCCCTTGCATTGCAAGGCAGATTCTTAACCACTGGACCACCAGGGAAGCCCCCCAATACTATTTTTTTTAAGCCACTAGTTTTCTTACTTGGATTTGTATTTACTATCAGTATTGATCTATATCATGATTTGTATAAAATCCTACTGAATAGATGTGCTTCCCAGGTGGTGCTAGTGGTAAAGAACCTGCTTGCCAGTGCAGGAGACGTGAGAGATGAGGGCTTGATCCCTGGGTCGAGAAGATTCCCCTGGAGGAGGGCATGACAACCCTCCATGCCTAGGCAGTACTCATGCCTGGAGAATCCTATGGACAGAGGAGCCTGGTGGGTTACAGTTCATGGGGTCGCAGAGTCGGATACGCCTGAAGCAACTTAGCACGTTGAATTGATACCCCAGATTTAATTAAGCTAATTTCCCACTCTTTGGTATAAAAGTGATTGTTCCGGTTTCTTAGTTTTGCCTATAACTGACTTTAGTTCTAAGGATTGAGTGTGCGCGCACGTGTGCTAACTCGCTTAGTTGTGTCTGACTCTTTGCGACCCCATGGACTGTAGCCCGCCAAACTCCTCTGTCCATGGGAATTTTCCAGGCAAGAATACTGGAGTGGGTTGCCATGGCCTCCTCCAGGGGATCTTCCCAACCCAGGGATTGAAACCATGTCTCTTAGTTCTCCTGCCCTGGCAGGCGGGTTCTTTACCACTAGCGCCACCTGGACTGAGTGTAGAAAGAAGTTGGAAGCAGTAGTGACAGGGAGAAGGGGAGGAGATGGGGATGCTGGTGTGGTGGAGGCAGCAGGCCGGGTCTGGGTGCTGGGGCCCGCCGCGTTATACTGGGGATGCTCTCTGATTCTGAACATCTTTGCTCTGCTCAGGGGAAGAAGGAAGAACGAGACAGGAGGGGCTTCTCTGAGGTGCCTGTGCAACTTCTAGGGCTCAGGTCCCCCCTGTGTGATCCAGGGCACCACACGGCTCCGAGGAGCTGGGCTGGGCTGGGCTGGGAAGCCAGATAGTGGGAGAGGAGGGGAGAGACGGAGACATGGGCTGAGGGAGCAAGAGAGCATGAGAACCAGAAAGATGGGAAGGAATGAGGCCCTCGGGGAAACGCAGAGACAGAGAGAGATGGGGAAATACAGAGTCAGGAGCCAGAAAATGTCACGAGACTGAGCAGAAGCAGGGCCACCCTTGGAGAGAGCGAGAGAGCGGGATCCATGGAGAGTAGAGGGGAGGGAAGGCGACATCCGAAGGACTCTGGAGCACAGGGCTTGCAGGAGAGAAAACCAGGGTGAGAGCGCCTCGCTGGGAGCTGGGAGCCTGCACGTGCGTGTGCCAGGGCCGGGTGGAAGCCTGCCCAGCTGTCTGGCTTTACAGCCGTCTGGATTTACAGGCTTGTCCAAGGAGACGCTGCCTTCCTTCTCTGCCCCACCTGGGCTTTAGCCTGCAGCCCTAGCCTGGGTGATGGGTTTTCAAACAAGCCGGGGCCCAGAGGAGGTAGCACGTTGCCATCCCAACCCTGGCCGGCAGCCTCTTCTAAACATTTCTCTTGGCCCCGGGGGTGACATTTCTCAGGGTGTTTTTCTTGCACTTGTTTAAAAACCAGATTGGCCTCTGCAATCCGCCGTGTGCCACTGCGGGTCTGCTTGGTGGGCGGTAAGGGCCGGGGAGCGTTGGTGAGCGGGAAAGGCTGTCTGATGCCAGGGAGTCAAGGTCAGCTATGGGCATGGGGGGCTTCCCAGATGGCTCAGTGGTGAAGAATCCGCCCGCCAATGCAGGAGACACAGGTTCGATCCCTGAGTCGGGAAGACCTCCTAGGATAGGAGATGGCAACCCACTCCAGTGTTC